TTAATCACATCTGAATTTAAATTATAACAATGAAATACCTGTTGATCTATTGACTATGTGTGTAGTGATTGTTTTTCTGTGAGTTATGTGAATACATGGCATTGGTGTGTGCTGTGTTGGTTAAGTTGCGTTGTTATATTTATTATGATATACTGTTCCTTATGTCATGGTGCACCTACGTAGGGAAAGTAAAAATGTAATGAAGCAGTAGGTATAAAAAATTAAACATGTTTTTCACTGGAAGCCACAAATAGTGACTAAAAGGGAAACAGAGGAGAAACAAATACAAATATACGATTATACTTATTTTTATACATAATTAGGAGGTAAATATTGATAGATCAAACATATTCACAATGTGTATATAATAATATATTAATTAGCTTATGCAGTGACCCACCTTTATTAATGTTGGTCACATAGCATTAGATTCCAAATATAAATATTAAGTTTATTTTTAAACATGACTTCCTTATAATAAAAAGACAAAAATATGAGTATCTAAAACACACATTATATACACCTATAAGTCATAAAATAGATAACAATATATTATAAATAATCATCACGACAGCCACCACCATGCACCAACACACATTTAACACAACATACATCCTTAGGGAAATAAATGAGAGGTACTTATATATGCAAAAAATATTACAGTTTGATAAAACAAATGCACCAAAATAATCATTAATCTACCTGGTAAATTAACTGATTAGGAATGTGTATCCGTAGAGTTTGCATCACACCTATACATTCGTGAGTATTAATCAAATATATATATATATATATATATAAAAACATAAAATCAGTATGACGGTAAAACTGATTTATCACTTACTTACATTATATAGTCATAATATTACTTTCAAGAAAAAATATCGAGCTAACTATCAAACGATATACAATACTAGTTTATATCACAATATGTATTTATTATGTGCGATAATATGATATACTAGATTAATAACCTATAATCCTATGAGACCTATATGCGTACTAAATCTGCTCTATTAGCCCTAACTAAGAAATGAAATGAAGTACTAATATCACTTACATTATTATAGTGTCATGTATCATATTAACACAAATGAACAAACAATAAATTAGAAATTGAGAGAAATCGTCTTCTTGTCGACAGATCCAACACTCCATAGCGATTAAGACTAGAAATTATGTAAAAAAAAATCATGAGGTGAGTAATTAATTATATAGGGATAGTGAGTTATTTTTTGAGTGTGGTAATGTTTTACCTACTAAGTGTAATATCATATCTTAACCAAACTGCTAATTTTTCCTTATAATTTAACAAGAATAATATAGGGGAAAAATTAACTTCTCTTTAAAAAAGTTAAAATACAAAATGTCAAGGTATACTTTAGCTTTGGAAAATCACCAGAAAAACCCAAATTAAGGCATGAATTATTTTGAGGTCACTGGAACAATATATATATATTGCTGGGAACACAATATGTCTTCCAGACATGTGTATCATTGGGGATTATTATCCTTTTTTGGATTTTATTAATTTCAATATTCTATAATTTTCATTCCTTTAAACTAGGTTGCACGAGTTATACCAAAGTGGATGTAACAAGACAATGATGGAAGTCCTCTGAAGAAGGTTTAGGATGGGACCTCTCACACCAGTAACACATCTTAAATACAATATCCAGAGTGAGATCTAGCTACAGAGCAATGCTATTTGCTCAACCCCTTAAAAAGCCTAGCCATTAATAAAGATGTATATAACATTCAAATAACCCTAGGTAGAAAATTATGTACAAAAGAGTTAATTATTTCTATTTGTTCACACTAAAGCTGTTTAAACTAGACTACATTTTTTTTTTTTTTTCTATTTACTGCATCATTTTTTATTATTATATTAAGTTATTAAGCCTCACATACCCGTTCATAAAAATATAGTTCAAATAAGGTTATAAAAATGTCCTAATTCAAAACCACAGTTATGTAAACCTAGCATTCTTCAACATAGTATGCCTATACAGACAATGAAAATTGTCACACATTTAAGCTTACCTCTTTAATCACACAATGTGCACACCAACACACGCGCACATACATACACAGACCTCTGTATAGCCTTTGAACTACTTAAAAAAAGTTAAAATAAATAAATAAAAAAAAATTGAGAGAAAGTAGAAGTTGCTGTGAAAGATGGCTCTGTTGTCTAGTTATTTGCAATAAAAGAAAAGAACAAAATTACAAGAAAAAAAAAAAGAAAAATAAAGAAAACAGCTTAAACTAAAGAGGCACACACTCTCTCTTGTTGGTTCATTGTCCTGAGCTAAATTGAAGAGTCGCCTTCAGAAAATTCTTGTGTGTAAAACCAGAAAAGTTACATCGAGTAATAGAGCAACATACCTATGTATGCATGCCTTTGTTAAAAGCAGCATTTTTCTTGTAAAACTGTCTCATTGAAGAGCTAAAGGTTACAGATTTATTTTATAAATTACTCTTTTTAAATTACAATTTCTGAAAAAGTTTAAATTCCTACATAACCACTTAAAAACCTTACTACACATTTATCGTTCTTTACACATATGAGCAGGGATAGTTTTTGGCCCTCACAAACTATCACAAAATAATCTAAAATACCAGAAAAATGTGACATTCAGTGTGTTCTGGTTAAAAAGTCATGACTGCTAATTAGATTATTGAAAACTGTTTTATCCAGAGGGATCAACTGGGGTAGAAAAAGAAAGAAAAAAAGTAAAAGCAAAAAATATTAAAAAACTTAAAGGCTTGATAATAGGTATAGCAGCAATTACTGCTTTGTTGCTCCTTTTTGAATAAGGTATCTTACAACATTCTAAAGCTTGTAGAAAAGGAACCTTGCCTGGATAATCTACCCTATTCAGGATCAACAAGGTTCCGAGTAATATTTGTACATCTCTCCCCTGTCCAAACATCACGTAGCTGATGTTTCATACAAAGAGCAGTCTCCTCTACCAATGGCAATCATAAAGTCTAAAATACATGTGTTAAAAAACAAAATATTTGTTTCTTCTCTTTTTAAATTTTTTTCTGATGATGATGAAACGCTTGGCAGGTCAACTACTAGCTCTGGTGTTTCACAATATGCAAGTGATGAAAACAGGTTCTGGAAAATGGTTACAAAAACTGCAATGCTTGATATAGTTAGGTAATACTGGTAGAAAAAGCTGGAAGGTTTGTTGGTGTGTTGCTTCTCTCTCCCATCGATTCAATAAGATCAACAGAGCATGATGCAATGAAACTCCCAGTAGTGCTGGTTCGTGGCAGTGTGTGTTGTCTTTGATTGTTGTGAAAGGAAACTGTCAGTAATCTTTTGGACAATTTTTTGGGTCAGGAGGATGTTGGGTAATCAATGTCATTGTTTACATTAGTATTTTGTCTTTTATACTATTTTAAATTCTCATTCTCTCTCTCTCTAAAATGAATCAAGAACTTAAGTGTTAATGGTCAGGTACGCAAGAAGTTCTGGCTTAACTAGCAGGTATTTGCACAACATTCCTGAGTCCAAAAAAATGGAAAAATTCCCTCAATTGCAGCTTAAGCTAGTGGCTCAAGTGGCTTGCTAGACTTGCTTTTTGCCCAAGTGGCATGATTTTTTTCTTTCTTAAAAATAGTTTCTTAAAACTATTTTCCTCTTTTTAGTTGGAAGTTTCTTGCTTAACTGAATGTTATTCAGTACTGACAAGAACCTCATTTGACTGGTGTGGCTTTTCTAGGCTTTTCTAGGGCTGAAAAAGTAACTTCCAAGCCCTGGGTTTATTATTAGCATCTTTCAAAAATTTTCCATTCATTTCTCAATTATCAGAAAAAAACACATCTTCACAACCTTGGTGTTACAATGCAGAAAGCTGACCACTCAATCAGATGAGGTGTAAAACATTTTAACCATGGAATGTGTCTTTCTAAAAGGTCCAATGATAAATACAGCCAGATTCTCCTTCCACCATCCTCTCTTCCCAGTGTAAAACTACAAAATTCCACTTGACGCACATTTTATAAAGAGAAAAGATGTGTATTTACTTACTATTAGATACTCCCTAAACAATTGCCAAGTTGCATCACAGTGTGTATCTTTTTTTCTCTTTTTATCTCTGAATCTTTACAAAAATTTGTATGTATATATATAAAAAAAGAGAAGCTAATATGAGAAGAAAAATGAGGTAAGCACCATCAGGAGAATGCGAGCTGTTGCATAAAAAAGTTTTTTCTTTTTTTCTTTTTTTTTTTTTTTTTTTGCTTCCCTCTCCTGACGCATCTTGTGTTTAATGGTAGTGATAGTTGTCTAAAAAGGACATGCTCACGAGAGGGAACAAGAAACGTGACAGGAGTCATGGCTGACCCAAAACCCTTTATCTAGATTACATTGGACATGTTGAAATCCATGAGGGGGGGAAAAAGTTTTGCTCGCTGTCCACATGGGATATTAGGAATATTATCTTTGTGACCAGAATATTGTGTTTTTGATAATGGCTTCATCTTTCATAGCCATAAATACTGAAGGCATTTGACAGATCAAGAGGAACATGGGGAAATCAATGGAAGATCTGTGACCCAAATGACATAAAAAACAAGAAAAAGAAAAAAGAAGATACTGAAAACCTACATGTAGAAAAGAAATGAAAACTATTCTTAAACAATATGAAGTATCTTAATGGTACACAAATAAATGTTAGTAAGAAAAAAGAAAAAAAAAAAAAAAAAGAAAAAAAGCTCTATTCTCAAAGCTATTGGCTTCCACTGTCAACAGAACAAATGAACGGAGGAAAGGCAAACCGAGACACACCTATTCTGTCTCCTACCTGCGAATAAACGACTTTTGACAACTTCAAGCAGGTCATTGCGCAAGTTGCTCTGGCTATTCCACATGGTTTGAACTAGGGTAGATCCCAGTCCACATCTCACAACATCGAACCAAGTACCTCTGGGTTCCTTACACCTCTCAAATACACACTTAGATTTGCACACTTAGAAAAACAAATAGCTACTAATCAATAAATAAGAGATCCTGCTCAAGACAAAATTAAAAAAAGGATATGAAAAAACATACAATGCAAGTAAATGGAAAACAATAAAATCCATCAGCCACCTGTGGAATAGCAAGGTACTGTCTTCCTTATCAATATATGTATATATAGATGTAAATGACAGAATGCAACCTAACTCTACTGTAAAAACCTCAGCCTAGCATGAGGTAGAAGGGGTAGCTACCCAAAACTACTCAGGGGACTGTTCTGAAACGACTCAGAGCCGCACCCAGGGAGAGATGGACTCCTAGGTCAATGGTCAAGTCAATGGCATCACAAGTTGAGGCCAGTTCTCGCCACTCTCCCTTAGCCAACTCGTTACCTTCCTCATTTACAAAACTGCCATGTTGCCTCTCCTTTTATGTTTGTACCAACAACTGTGTTTTACACTGTTGTCTTTCTTTAATTATTATTTTTTCTTTGTAATACTTGCTACATATTTTTCAGAAGAAACAAAATACAAAATAGGTTGATACCTGGCTGATATATAGATATATATGCGTACTTGTACGTATATACATGTTTGCAACAGTGGTCCTTCTGGAGTGTCTTTCTAATTGTTCAAAAAGAGAAAGAAAAAAATATAAAACAAAAGATAATAATAATAATAAAAAAAATACCAAAAGCAATTCCTCCTTAGAGGGGAATCTCTTTCAACTTCTCCAAGATTTCCTTGTCCTTATCAGTCTCGTCCCGCACCACCATAATGGTGTGGCCCATCCCGCATGACACCTGACTCACGTGGGCCCCCTCCAGGGCTTTCACCTCCTTGGGCTGCGTGCTTGACTTCACATTCTCACCAAGACCCTATGGGCAGAGGGGCAGTAATTAGTGAGTGAGGGGCTAAGTAAATGAGGACTACATTTACAAACAAGTGAGTAGATGCTGTGATGAATTTAGGAGAGTAATTCACAGTTGGGAATACAGAATATCTTCAAAAGGTAATCAAATCAGACAGGAGTGAGCAAGCATGAGGAGAAAAGAGAAAAGAGAGAGAGAAAAAAAAAGGGAAGAGAGAAATATAGAGAAGGAAAAGAGTAAATGAGAAGTGGACACAGACACAGAAAAGAAAAAGAGAATGAAAGGAAACACATAAAAAAAGGAAAAGAGATAGAAAGAGACAGGAGAGCAGAGGTAAGAAAAGGCAAAAGAACGAGAAAACTGGAAGTGAAAAGTGGGGAATGAAAACTGGACAAAAAAGGAAAGAAGGAAGGAGAGTGGGACGGAGGGAGGGAGAGAGGAAAGAGAGAAGAAGATTTAAAGATTCAAAGATTTAGTTTTAATTCCATTTGTTACAATCAATATTCTTTGCTATGACATTGCTGTGTTTATTTTGCCAAAATCTCCCCCTGTGTGGAAGGAATGGACGGAGTTACCATTCACTAGCCAGGCGTGGGATTGAACGCAGCTCCGCAAGATTGCTAGACCTGCACTTTACCGGCGCCAGAGGGGAGGGGAGAGAGAGAGAGAGAGAGAGAGAGAGAGAGAGAGAGAGAGAGAGAGAGAGAGAGAGAGAGAGAGAGAGAGAGAGAGAGAGAGAGAGAGAGGAGAGAGAGAGAGAGAGAGAGAGAGGAGAGGAGAGGAGAGGGAGAGGAGAGAGGAAAGGAGAGAGAGAGAGAGAGAGAGAGAGAGAGAGAGAGAGAGAGAGAGAGAGAGAGAGAGAGGAGAGAGAGGAGAGAGAGGGAGAGAGAGGGAGGAGGGAGGGAGGGAAGAGGAGAGGGGGAGAGAGGGGGGAGGGAGAGGGGAGAGAGGGAGAGAGAGAGAGAGAGAGAGGAGAGAGAGAGAGAGAGAGAGAGAGAGAGAGAGAGAGAGAGAGAGAGAGAGAGAGAGAGAGAAGAGAGAAGAGAGGGAGGGGAGAGAGGGAGAGAGAGAGGGAGAGGGAGAGGGAGAGAGGGAGAGAGAGAGAGAGACGAGAGAGAGAGGAGAGAGAGGAGAGAGAGAGAGAGAGAGAGAGAGAGAGAGAGAGAGAGAGAGAGAGAGAGAGAGAGAGAGAGAGAGAGAGAGAGAGAGAGAGAGAGAGAGAGAGAGGAAACAAGACAAGGAAACAGAAAACTAAAAATCTAGAAAAATGTGACAACACTTAGAAATGAGTAGAAAGATAAGAAAATGTAAGAAGACCCAACAACAACAAAAAAAAAAAAAAAACTCACCAGCTCTCCATAGGTAGGTGACGGGCCCCAAGCTATGACACTCTCATCAGCAGCAACCACAATGGAGGTGATGGAGCAGCCAACAGAGCGCACATCCCAACCGCAGAGGTCTTGCAGGGGCTTTGGGTACATATTGGCCTCCCCAGTGCGCTTGGTTTGACCCCAGAGGAAGATGCCCATTACACTGACAGCTATGGTGAAAGTGGAACCACAATAGACCTTCTCAACCCCACGATTGTGACCATCGAAGAACTTGATCAGCCTGGGGATATACTCGTCCTTGGGCTCAGCATGGCCCAGCCGACCATAGCCTCCAAAGCCCCATGAGAAGGCTCTTTTCTTGGCATCAAGGGCAACCTGGAATGTGGGATTAGGAGTGTCTGAGAAATGCTGCTGTTTGTTTTACCTTTTAAGTGATATGTGTGCTGAAATGGTAAGAGGCATGATGTATTTGTTTTAGAGCAACAAGTAGGTTGCAACCCCCAGGGGGTCACAGAGGATATTGCCAAATGCTAATTGTAGGTTAATTTGCTAGGTGTTCTTTAGGGTTCATATTGACTCCATGCAGATAGGTGATTCATGTGACATACCATCTGCCAGGTGCCATATGCAGTCTGCCACTTCAGAGAAAATTAGAAGTACTAAAATGAATAATTTCCCCACTCTATAGTTTTGGCTGCATCATACAAGGCCAGGAAGTGACTTTTGGCCTACTTTTGAGCGACTGTAACTTCTTAAAGACTGTAGTTATAGCCAAATACATGAATAACTATTTAGTACATACAACTAAAGAGCATGCTTGATGCATGTGGTATGGATGTACATACTTGGCACCTGTCAGCAAAGGGTAAAAAATATGCTATTAAGCCTTGTTTTGATGGAACACTATTACAATTAGATATATAGAGCTTGTAACGATTGCTGAATCTTAGCCTAAAAATACATAGTTACAAAATTTACAATTAGAGTGTTTTAAGATGGTGGTCACAAATGAGTTGGAAGTTTAAGAAAATAGTTTGTAGATAAGAAAAAGAAGAGGAAGAAGAAGAAAAAAAAAAAAAGAGGTTGGGAACCACTGTTTAATGAACTTTTTCTTCCACTTCAGAGTAAATAGTGAATCCAATGAAAACACTCATCCTTGTAGAGCATTAATTTTGACAAACTGAATAAGTATACTTGAAGAAAGAATGAAATCTAATCCCTCTCGTAAGACAACAAAGTCTGCCAACTTTGCAAAAAATAATGATTTGAAATTCTGGCTCTCAAATAAAATACCTCTATATAAAAAGAAAAAGAAAATGTGTAAAAACGCCTTAAAATAGGTCTTACAGTGTGGTTGCTTCCACATGCAATGTCCACAATCTGGACATCAGTGACGGGAGTGGGATGCCCGTCTTTGCTGCGTTCCACAAAGATGGGAACTCTTCTGGGTGATCGCTCATGTTGGTAAGATAACTTGTTGCTGGTAATAAAGAATTTACCGTCAGTGTTGTGCCCCAACTGCCCATACTCGGGTAACCCAAAGGAATACAAGTAGCCTTTCCTGTCAACAATCATGCTGAATTCTGCACCGCAAGCAACCTGCAAAAGATTGAATAGTAAGTGAAAATAGGTAAAGCATATGGCCATTTTGGGTAGATTCCTGCAAGGCGTGTTACCACATTTTCTGTCAAGGAAACACATTTGAGAATATAGGTCAATGTTTAATGCTGAATGTTGAATTCTAACTTCATATTGTGAAACTCATCTTTATGCATGGTAATCAATTTATACAGCAATTACAATCTTGTTGATAAATGATGATTTTCCACACTCAACTTTTTTTAAAAACACCAAAATGCACCCTGCAATAACTATCACACAGGGAACTTTAAGGACTGAAATACACAGTAAATTCCATCAATTTACTTTCAGCTCTGCACCCTGAAATGCAGCCCATATAACTGATTTTCCTAAATACACAGGATTCAATACTCAGAATTTTAAGGCTCATGTCTCTCTCCACAGATTTCAATTTCTAAATAACTTTTTTCTAATGTTATAAACTTAACCCATTGGTGCTGGGTAATCACACTGTCTAATGTCATTTTCTTTTGTGAATTTTGTCTGTGCAAGTGCTCAGCCACCAAGGAGCCAATTAGTCAGCTAACATTTCTTTAGCAGATTTTCCTTTTCTTGAGTTTTCAGATTTCCCCCTCCCACAATGCTATTGATATTAAAGAAGTATTAATGTTGTTGACATTATATTTATTACAATGCTATAAACAACAGAAAAAAATAATACAAAAAAGGAATAAAAAAAAATATATATATATTATTTTTCTGAAAATCAAGGAAAAGTGTAAACAAGTTAACTAGCTAAGACTAGTAATTGGCTCCTTAGCAACTAAACACTTGTGGAGCCATCTTTGTGTAAAGACAATATAGATAGACACACAGTGGACATGCATGTATTCTTGCCATCTCAGCTACAGTGGTTAGCAATAAATGAGAGCAATACCAAAATAACATATGGCTAACATAACTCATTAATATAAACAAATCTAATAATTGTCAAAGTCAAAAAAACAAAAACTCTGAAAAGTAAAGTGTATGTGACAATACTCTCAGCCTCTCAAAACATTTATATTCAAATAGTCTTTGAATTCACACTTGATATGACACACACATTTACAACACTCATTCAGTCACTTGCTACCATACATTTGCTCTCACTATCACAAACTCATTCTCACTCATGGAAATATTCTCTCTCTCTCTCTCTCTCTCTCTCTCTCTCTCTCTCTCTCTCTCTCTCTCTCTCTCTCTCTCTCTCTCACACACACACACGCACACACACTCACGCACATTCCACGCACTTCACTCACGCTCCACACGCACGCACGCACACACGCACGCACGCACACACGCACGCACACACGCACGCACACACACACGCACACACGCACACACACGCACGCACACACGCACCACACACACGCACACACGCACGCACACACGCACGCACACACACACACACGCACGCACACACGCACGCACACGCACGCACACACGCACGCACACACGCACGCACACACGCACACACGCACCACACCCACGCACACACACCCACGCACACACAAATGGCCAGAGGGCAGAAACAGGATTGTCTTGTTATGTAAAATATTTTGGCCAAAGGGTGGGTGACAAGGATGTCTTGTCACGGGAAAATTTTGCAAAGAGCTGAGCAATGAGGTTATATCATCAGTACATAAAGTACTCTGAGTGAGACTGACTCAGCAGGCCTTCAGAGAGAAGCTTGTTGAAGTTCACCATCTGTCAAACGTGGCTAGTAGAGGGATGTCTCCAGGGGGTGACCTATTCGAACTTGACATTACCGGTGGCATATAGCATGTTACAGAAAATTGAATAATACAATATATTTATTGTTAGTTATTTCACAGAATGTAAACTATCTGGAGAAATTATAAGGAATCTGTTCAACGAAAATATCCATTATCATCTTGATTCCGCATAGCAAATTTCAAATATAGACCCTAGAAAAAGGCAAAATAACAACAATTCATCAGCAGAGAAAGGGTTAATAGCACTACAAAAAGAAGGCAAGGAGTCATGTGTGAGTGCATGTATGGGTTAGGCCTACAATCCACCCAAACAGAAGAGTGGTCACACAAGGAACCCTAATGACATGATTTTGGTACACCATTTTGCCGCAAGACACCCAGATCTAACTGGGTTAATTTTATTTATGTAATATGAATCAACAAATTCACAATCTATATCTTTATTGCTCACTGTCATAGCTATCATCTTTTGCAGACTCAACTTGCTTTTCTTTTAGACTGGGGAATAGGCAAAGGTGGAGCACAGTGGTGTGTCTATCATTCTATGCTTTCATTAGCATAAGAGGTAAACGGGTATGAGGAAATTATTAGCTAAAACAACAGCCTACAATGACATTCATGCTGAGATTGTGTTAATGAAACAACCTGCTTACACTTTGGAAGCCAAATCCTTTAGTCTTCTTTTTTATATATAATCATATTTCTTATTGAGGCCATATTAAGTATAATACTGGAAGTAGAAACTGGATACATATTATATTGGTAAAAAATCTAAAAAATTAAATTAGCAATAACATATATATCTTATACTTCATAATATAACAAGGATTAGTGCATAGCCTCACAAAATCACTACAACAATGAAACCTCCCATTATTAAAATATTAAATTCACAAAGTGCACTTGCAGCTGTATCAGAATTATTATCAGGGCTGACCAAAAGGGAAAAGAATTTGTAGCATTGGGATGATGCTTCCCTCCCTGTATTTGTTCCGTACAAACTGATTGTATGCTTTTTAATGAATGCATAAAGATGTTCAGCTGACTTTTGATGTATTCTCTATGCTTCTATAGTGTACAAATCAGCGAGCAGTCTGCAGTCTCACTGCCAGGCTAGATGCCATTCACCATTTGGGCCCACCCTCAATATGGCATGTACAGATGCCACTAAGCATCATGGAGTTTAAAAATAAGACTCCCAGTTCATGCACAGACCAAAATCTGGACATCATGCTAACTTGAATGGCAACTTTCCTGTGTAGGTCTGGCTTGTAGACCTGGCCAGCTTAAAGACACACACATATCAAGATGGTAACAGATTGTTTTCATTAAACTAAGTCTATATTATCTCTCCAGATAGTTTACACTCTGTGGAATTATGGTATCAACAAGTAACACTGCATTTTTTTTTTTTTTTTTTTTTTTTTTTTTTTTTTTTGTAACATCCTGTACCACTGGTAACAGCAAACAAGAATGGGTTCCTGTGCATACGCGCAGTATCCTCCCTCCTAGGAACATCAAACATGATATGAAGATGGTCCACTCCATCCATTTAACAGAGATCAGGCAGTTCAATCAATCTCATTCCAAAAGCTTTGTGCACTTATGATGAGATGCCACCAACAGGAGTAAAGATACATATATTACCTTACAATTGTTCAGTGAGATACGAGTTGAAATTTCGAACTAAATGCAAGGGAACAATAACTTCTGTTAAAAATAATTGTACACAAAAGTGCAGTAAGAGCTTGACCTGGAAACAGAATAAGAAAACAACCAAAAAGGACACTTTACCTTCTGGACCTTGGACTCCTTAAAGTCAATCCTGCAGGGAGTGTGTATAACAGCTGTGGTGGTGCCTGTGCCACATTGGCCTGATTTATTATCTCCGCAGGCAAACACACTACCACGGTCAGTAAGGAGGAGTGTGTGGTTGCGACCGACTGCAGCCGACACTACTGTGAACTCTGACATTGTGTCCATAGCCACAACACCTGATCTGTTCTCTGTGTCACCCACACCCAGTTGGCCCTTCTCGTTGCGGCCTGCAAGGAAAATTGGAAGGTAAGGAAGTAGCAACACTTGGTATGGAGAAAACTTGTAGACTGCAATATAAGGGTTTTCGTGTGAAGAATCATTATAGCCTTGCTGATGTGTATAAAGAATAGTACAGCCTGTGAAAAAAAAGGATTCTGTGTGTGAGAATGTTTTCCAGCTTATATTGTGGGAAGGTCAATATGTTTAAGAACAACTGGCAAGATGATGTTAAGGAATTGCTACCTTTCGGTCAAGCATATATTTCCCATTTAAAGTTCCATTGAGCTCTACTCCACTGAATACAACTATCCAGTGTATACTGTAAATGATAGTCGTAATAGCATAATAATAATGAGTTAATGAGTCAGGCTCACACATTGAGAGATGGCAGCCAAGTGCTTTTATAGGGATGTGACAAGTGCAATTTTGCCTTTAGGTTTCAGATAACAGACCTGCAGAAAAGGAATGCATTCTGGAATGTTATATCCCTTTTAATTTAATGGAAATCATGAAATGTTACCTATTTCTTGAGGTTTAAATAAAAGTAGGTAAATATTATAGGAAAGTTGATGAAGTCTTATAATAATGAATATGCTAATAACTGTAAACTGACAATGGTCTGCATATTTCTGTGTAAATCTCTTAAGAAAATGAAGCCTACACATGACCCTGATACATTTTGTTTTTCTATTTACCATGTAATGTATCAGTATACTACGAAACTAATAAATGTTCCCAAGAAGGCCAAGAAAAATTTGAAAGACTACTCAACACTTAGTTTTGAATCTTCCTCCACTTTTAGAACCTCTATTATAATATACTGCTGTTCTGGTCAATAGTTATGTTGCTAATGAAGCTTTTCAATTTCTGTCGTTAAACCATGATGCCCTTCTGGTATTTGACCCTGAAGATGATTCCCTGGGCTCTGACGATAATTGAAAACAAGACATTTTCCTACTTAAAGATATCCACTGTATAATCAGTTTACACAAGACCTTTTTCCAGATCTTGCTATGTAATAGCACTTAATATAATACTAGGATTTACAACATTTAATGAAGGTCATGAAATAAGCTAAACCATGCATAAAATAGCGAGGTGAAATTTATAGAAATTCCATTCTCCTTACAGCAAAAGATACATAGGTTTTGACTCTTGTGGAATGTTCAGTGGTATTTTTCACAGTTCCATACACAGTACCAGATGAAACTCATCCTAAACATTTCACTTTTTCAGGTGAGAACCACTGGTATTTGAAATCCTTTTATAATTTATAGATATTTCAAAATTGCTTCATATGCAGCTAAAATTAAGAGCAAAATAGCATATGAAAAAAAAAGAAAAAAAAAAAACAGACTTCCAGTGACAATAGTTGGAATAACAACAAACTAAAATAGGTCTTTAAAAGATTGCATACAAGAATATTCAATGAGAATAAACTACACATTAGACAGGAAGACTTCATAACAAACACAAAACATATAACCTAAGGAAGAGTCCAAGAAGGCAGCAGTAAAGCATATCTTAACAAAATCATCATAAAAATTAATAACGTTTAGCACAGATAGACCAATGCCCATACGTAACACAAACACACACTCACCAAGCGCCATGACTTTGCCTTCTTCTGTCAAGATGATCGAGTGAGCGGCCGAGCAGTGTGATGTCACAAAAGCCACACGAATGCCCTTTAGGGATGCAATACGCCGTGGCACATAGTGGATCATTGATGGAATGCTCTTGAGGTTGCGCCTGCCAATGAACTCCCATTGTGCACAGCCAAAATACACAAGAGTACCACGTTCCTCCGGTAGGGATAGTCTCTGCAGGTAGATATAATTGGAATCAGTCTGTGCACCATATACTGAAATCAGGTTACAAATCAAATTACTATATTGTACATCATTACAATCACAATAATAAATAATAATAATAATAATAATAATAATAATAATAATAATAATAATAATAATAATAATAATAATAATATATAATAATATATATATATATATATATATATATATATATATATATATATAATATATATATATATATATATATATATATAACACATATCTGTATGTGTATATGTGCATGTGTGTGTGTGTGTGTTTGTGAGTGCATGTGCTTTCGTTTGTGTGTGAGTATGTGTTTGTATATCCATGTGTTTGAGTGTGCATGTGTTTGTATGTCCATGTGTTTGTGTGTGCATGTGTTTGTGTGTACATATATTTGTGTGTGCAAGTGTGTGTTGTATATATGCATGAGTGTGCATATGCATGTGTGCGTGTGTGCATGTCTGTGTGTATACATGTGCAGTGTGGCAAGAAAATACTTTTTTTCTGTATCAATGCAATGATCATACATATCAGAAAAATTTCTATAATGCAATCCTTCCTATTACCATCATGCAAATTCTCATTG